CTGGGGGAGGGATGTGGAAGGCATTCAGGCTTAATTCGGGGAACTGGAGCACAGATCCAATTCCCTAAATCAAGAGCCCCTCACCAACATCAAGGAACCTTCCTTGAGGGGATGAAGTTTGAATAAGATAACCCAACAAGCAACTGAGAAAATAATATAATAATAATAATATCTTTATTTACTACATGTACTTGTACAAGGTATACAGGCTTAGCTGACATCAGTGACATACTACTGTATAGAAAGCCGCTTGTTATGCTGAGTATTTCAAGAAAATTAGGTCAGTGTCCCAGGATAACACCCACACTAGTTGACTAACACCTAGGTACCCATTTACTGATGGGTAAACATAGACAACAGGTGTAAAGAAACACACCTAATGTTTCTACCCTGGCTGGGAATCGAATATTTACCAAAAATCATATATGGCTAACCCAAGCCAGGTACTAAAAATAAGCCACGTTGACTTTTTTGGGGTTATCCTAGGTTCTCTACACATATGCTGCTATGTGTGATAATCTATAGAGAGAAAATAACTTTTGTTTCAGGTTTATGGTGCAGTACGAGTGTATAACACAGTTCTGTGCTACACTCCGTTTTCTCTAATATAAGCCACCAAGACAGGGATAGGAGAATGGTATTTGTATACCATATCCTCTTCATACCTCCGTCGAACTGCTCGGTATTGTGCCAAATATTATTCATTCTGGAGTATTTAACATGTTTTATGTTATTTATATTGTTTCTAATGTCATATTAGATCAATTGTGATAGGCAAATAAGCTGTAGTGTTGATATTAGCATAATAATAAAGCATATTCTCCTGCTTCACGAGACTGAGCTCATGGCAACCGACAGTGGCTTCAAAGCCACTGTACTGTACTGTGTAGGTGCTTTACATAATGAGAAGCATTTCTTTTATTCATTGGAACCATGGCTAGGGCTAAAAGTAAGCAGGTTAAAACAATAAATGGAGAAAAAGAAATTGGAATGACTTATGCAGCAAGTAGTGCCACCAAACAGTACCAGCAGGTTAGTGTGGCGACCCTGGAAATTTGAAATTATGCTAGCCAAAATTAGTGCCGAATAACTGAAGGAACCGAATAACTGATTGCCGGATTTGTGATGGCAGACCTGTAGTATTCAAGTACCAAGGAACAACACCTGCAATAGACCGCCCACCAAATTTTCAACAACTTCCTTCTCGTTTGAAGCATGGTGATCACTTCCTGGTAAAACTGCCTGCTACTGCTTTCAAGAAAAAGGCTCAGAAGAGGTGTTATATCTGTGCACATACAAAAAAACGCCTACAACAACGCAGAGACACTCGTTTTATGTGTTAGGAGTGTAAAACACCACTGTGCATGACACCATGTTTCAAAGACTTCCACAGGCTGCAGAACTTCTAGAAACATTCCCTGTGACTGTATATGTGTATATAAAATATAGAAAAATAGTAATAAACAACATTTCATATCGTTTGTGTAAATATTTTCTGTAAACAAAACAATGACAACAGTGTTTATGCAGTTATTGTGTAGTATTGAAAAAGAAATAGCTTACAAAATACTGATCATATTGGTCTCACAAGCCATAAAAGTTACTTGGAAAAAGAAAAATTAAAAAATAATAGAAAACAGTACATAAAACACTAAATAAAAGAATACTGGGTGACAGCAGTTGGTGATGTTACCACATGATGCTCATTTTTGGTAAACTTCATGCCTCCATATCTCGGTAAGTATTGATGGTAAAAAAATTTTGTTTAGCCTATAATGTTTAGAAAAAAAAAAATTTTCATAAGATTTTTTTTTTTTTTTTTGAAATTTGGCCGACCCTGAGAACAAGTCTCTGACAGGGCCTGTCGACCCTGAAAGGGTTAATTAAAGCTCCCAGAGCAATAAAATACATATATACAGTACATTCATTAATTACCTTAAAATATTTGTAGTCTTAATGTAGGGTGAGAGGTGAGTTTTATTTTAAGAAGTCAGGTTTGGGAAGTATGGGTAGCCAGGAAGGGCAGCCCACCCCACCCCACCCCACCCACACGTAATGCAAACAAACCAGATGAACACATCTGGTTTTCGTCACTTTATATTGTGTACAAGTTGTCTCCACGTTGATACAGTAGAATAAATAAAGAGAAACACTCCCATTGTCATGTAACACCATTTTTAGAAGAAATGATGCCCTGAGTGAAGGCATACAAAAGGAATAATTTTCTAGTTACCCCCAGTTGCCTGGCTACCACAAGTCCTACAAGTCACCTGGCTACCACATCTCATATTTTGGTTAATTTATTCTACTGTGGGGTGTATTTAGATGGATTAAGCAAAATGTCTATATTAATGTTTTATACGATATTTAACCTTTTCAGGGTTGACAGGCCCTCTCAGAGACTTGTTCTCAGGGTCGGCCAAATTTAAAACAAAAAAATTATTTTTTCTTATGAAAAGATAGATAATCTTTTCTCGATCATAATGACACCAAAAGTATGAAATTTGATGGAAAACTTACGGAATTATGCTCTCGTGAAGTTAGCGGTCCCGACGATGTTTACGCAGAAAGACATTCCTGGCACTAAAATAACATTTCCTCTGTTCATTAGTCACGTCCCCATGCCCCTCTTACATTCTTTTGCTTTCCACTTTGAATTTTTATTCTCACAAAAAAATAGAAGATTTACTGTTATGCAGACTACTGCATTGGTGTAGAAATGGTATAAATAATATCAGCGCACTTGTGAAAGAATATTAGACTCACCAGTTGACTTGTATTGGACGCATAGCATGATTTGTTTACTTTTGAAATTTGGTAAAAATCAAACATTTCTGCTATTTTGAGCTTAATTTCAAGGTACTTTTCTTTGTAAAACCAGTCAAAATCATTTCAATTTCTGTAATATGTCTTCCATTCTATGAAATGAGACCAGGAAAACTAGAATACAAATAAATACCATACGAAAATACAGTGCAAAGTCACTGTTTCAAACAAAAACACGGTCAAAGTTTTTTTTTTCTCATTACGCACCGTATGCTGCAGGATTTTTTTCTATACTGCGCACACTAACCACATAGACCCATTCTTTCATATGTAGGCCTACCATCTTTCTCTCAGTAGATTTGAGGGCGCTAGAATTTAGGCATACTAGTACGTCTAAAACCCTGGTGCGTAAGCCGTACTAGTACAGCCAAAACCCTGAAAGGGTTAATGCTCTTCACAGTGATTATTATTATTATTAATATGGCATCTTCAAGACTAATGAGACACACTTAGTGATTTTAATGTGTACCTGCATGCCAGCACAGTGTGTAAGTTTATTTAGGTACAGGTACCTATAAGTATCAATTATAATAATAATGTAGGTATATAGTCCGCCTGGGCTACATACCTACACGATATTTAACCCTTTCAGGATCCAGAGGCCAAATTTCAAAGTGTGCACCAGGGTCCAAGAATTTTCAAAAAAAAAAAAAAAAAAAAAAATTCTTATGAAATGGTAGAGAATCTTTTTCTAAAGGTAATAAAACAAAAAGTACAAAATTTGATGGGAAATTGGCAAAATTATACTCTCGCGAATTTTGATATGTCAGCGATATTTACGAATTGCCGAATTTGACTCCCATTTTAGGCCAGTTACATTATTCCAGTCGACCAAATTCTTAGCTATTTCACTAGTATTACTTCTATCGATTGAGCACAAGAAATCGCCAAGTCAACTGTTTCAACTATAAAATAAAGTGATCGGAAATTGGTAATTTGGCCAATTTAACACAAAGTTCAAATTATTCCAATTTCAAAATAGGGTCCAGAATAAACAATGTAGGTATTCCTGGCGCTAAACTAACATTTCCTCTGTTCATTAGTTACGTTTTGAGGCTTTACAAATGAATTCCATTTTGATTTTTTTATTCACATAATTTTTATTCAAACCAAAAAATAGAAGATTTACTGTTATGCAATATTGTAATAATTGTATAAATATCATCACCACATTTGTGAATGTATGTTAGACCCACCAGCTGGTGTGTATTAGACGTGAGGTTGTTTGTTTAGTCTTGAGCATCGGCAAAAATTTAACATTTCTGCTACTTTGAGCTCAGTTTCAAGCCATTTCCAGTGCTAAAACCAATCAAAATCATCTCTATTTCTGTAATATGTCTTCCATTCTATCAAATGAGACCAAGAAATCGCAAATATGACTATAAAAAACATACGAAAAAACACTGCAAAGTCTCTGTCTTAATAGAAAATTACGGTCTCGTTTTTTTCTCATTATGCACTACGTGCTGCAGGATTTGTTTTATGTGGTGCACACATACCACATAGATGTATTCTCTCATATCTAGGCCAAAATTTACCGCTCACAGTTTATCAGAGTGAACTGAGCTCATGGCGTAGATCTGTGGTTTGGACCCTCAACGTAAAGCCGTAGATCTACGGCACAGACCCTCAAAGGGTTAAGTAGGCTATAAGTATTAGGTTAAGTCTTCCCAAAATTCCTCAGCATGATAGTGATTTTCTTTGTTCCAATCATATTATGATATGTAAACACACATTGTAACCTTGACAAAGAAATAAATATTTTATTCATTTATTTAATGACCCTCCCTTGAGGGGGAAGTTCACATCCTGAAACTTCATTTATATCCAGAAGCAAAAAATTGACTGAACGACTGTTCGTATCCTGAAAAGTTCGCATGGTAGGGCATTCATAAGCCGAGGTTCCACTGTACTTAGTAAAACTTATTCCCCTATAATTTTTATAATCTCTTTTGTCCCCCTTCCCTTTATATAAAGGAACTATACGTGCTCTCTGCTAATCCCCAGGTGCCTTCCCTTATTATATAATAACATCAGACAGGCTTGGCAATATGGAATGTGTAAATAATGTGTGTGCTTATAATTACTGGATTACATTTTTCTAGTGCCATATTTTTTTTAAGCTCATAAACAATTACAAACTTGACTCATTTCATTAAAATCTCTATATTCAGATTGCCCCTCCATGGACAATATTGGTACAAGTCATTACTTCATGGCAATATGGTCACTGCTGTCACTTAAATGGGGAGCATCACTTTTTGTCTTCTCTTATATCTACCGGAAGAGACTACTTGAGGAATACCATCCATTATTGGCATAAGACAGAGTAACTTAAATTTTATATTTACCTTACATAGATATTATTACATTGTGCCTGTTTTACAATGATTTTATATACTATTTTTATTATATTTAACTGATCCCAGTTAATAATTAATAACCAATAGATCTTTTCATGTGATTTTATAGTACATATATATTTTCAGTGTACATGTGTAACTGAATGTAACATTGTGTCAGTGTACCAAAATATGTTGGAATATAAAAGAATAATTCTTTATTACCAATTCATTGAATTATACATGGATAGATTATGAAGCTATATGTTAATTATTTTATATAGCTATTCAGTTGTGGATTTTATACAGTTGATAACATGCAGTATATGCACATGTAGCACAATTTTAATACTATACTATATATTTGGCATAAAGCAACTCTGTACAGTAGGGCCCCACTTATACGGCAGGTTAGGTTCTAAGCTACCGCTGGAAAGTAGAACGCCATTTTTTCCACTTACAAATGCCAGATAAGAAGCTTACACTAACATATTTTAAGCTAACAGTAGAACTAGGCATTGAAAAAACAATAAAAAGTAAAATGCATACACAGTACATTCATTACTTAACTTAAAATATTTATAGTCTTAATGTAGGGTGAGAAGTAAGTACAGTGGACCCACGGTTATCGGCGGTAATCCGTTCCAGAAGGTTGGCCTAAATCCGAAATGGCCGAAAACCATAAGAATTAATGTAAATACAATTAATCAGTTCCAGATACCCAAAAATATTAATCTTTAAAAAATGTATTTTTTGTTAACTATAGTTTTACATACACAAAACAATGAAAACTAAATAAAATAAATAAATATTTAAATCACTATTACATACCTTTATTGAAGACTTTTGATGGCTTATGGAAGACAGGGAGGAGGAAAGAGGACTGATCATTGTTTGGAAGGAGAATCCCCCTCCATAAGGACTTCAGGTATCAAAGCCCTCTCTGGGATTACATCCCTTGACTTAAGAAATCGTAATGACACGATTGCAAATAAACCATACCCCCGGCCGGGATTGAACCCGCGGTCATAGAGTCTCAAAACTCCAGCCCGTCGCGCTAGCCACTAGACCAGCTAGCCACAATAAGATTCATCCAACTAGGTATATTTCTACACCATAGGAAAGTTAGCACAGGCACCTCTGTGACCACAAATGCAAGTTTTTACAGACGAATCTCCAGCTAGCGTGGCCGTGACGAACTCTAGCTCAAGTCCCTTCACTGCCGTCAACATGACTTAAGAAATCGTAATGACACGATTGCAAATAAACCATACCCCCGGCCGGGATTGAACCCGCGGTCATAGAGTCTCAAAACTCCAGCCCGTCGCGCTAGCCACTAGACCAGCTAGCCACAATAAGATTCATCCAACTAGGTATATTTCTACACCATAGGAAAGTTAGCACAGGCACCTCTGTGACCACAAATGCAAGTTTTTACAGACGAATCTCCAGCTAGCGTGGCCGTGACGAACTCTAGCTAGAGTTCGTCACGGCCACGCTAGCTGGAGATTCGTCTGTAAAAACTTGCATTTGTGGTCACAGAGGTGCCTGTGCTAACTTTCCTATGGTGTAGAAATATACCTAGTTGGATGAATCTTATTGTGGCTAGCTGGTCTAGTGGCTAGCGCGACGGGCTGGAGTTTTGAGACTCTATGACCGCGGGTTCAATCCCGGCCGGGGGTATGGTTTATTTGCAATCGTGTCATTACGATTTCTTAAGTCATGTTGACGGCAGTGAAGGGACTTGAGCTAGAGTTCGTCACGGCCACGCTAGCTGGAGATTCGTCTGTAAAAACTTGCATTTGTGGTCACAGAGGTGCCTGTGCTAACTTTCCTATGGTGTAGAAATATACCTAGTTGGATGAATCTTATTGTGGCTAGCTGGTCTAGTGGCTAGCGCGACGGGCTGGAGTTTTGAGACTCTATGACCGCGGGTTCAATCCCGGCCGGGGGTATGGATTACATCCCTTCTTTGTCTTTTACTGCCACTAGGACCAGCTTGAGAGTCACTGCACCCCTGTCGCACAAAAAATAAAAAAATGTCCAGAGAGCTCTGTTTCTGGCGTCTCTTTAACCCGTAAACGGTCCAAACATATATACGTTTTTACCGCTAGTGCCTGAATGTATATATACATTTTATGTGTCCTACATTTAACATTGCCACGATAAGCCTGAGTCGCCTAGACATGTGAGAATGGGTGTGAGCACTCGCTGTGCACCATATTAAAATAATTGGGGATGCCTGGGTACCATATGCTCTTTTTTCCTATTAAAAAACAACAATGTTTTTTTTTTCTCAAAAAAGTTGGGGCAGTACGGTAGTGAACGTATATATACGTTTGGACCGTTTGCGGGTTAAGATTTGCCCGAAGTGGAACGAGGTTTTGTTACAACATGTTGCAGATGTGGCTTGTTTCAGCTTGGTCAAGCAAAAGTCTGCACCTCCCTCCAATTTGCACAAATGCCCGTAATCACTGAAGAAAGCACATTCTTCCCTCTCTCTTCCTCCTCCTAACCAATTTCTTCAGCTGTGGTCTGTTGCTGTTCCAGATGGTCTTGCAGCTCTTCAGTGGTTAGCTTTTCCCTGTGGTCCTCCACCAACTCTTCCACATCCTCGCCACTCACCTCCAACCCCATGGACTTCCCCAAAGACACAGTAGATTCCACAACAGGCATAGGGTCGTCAGGGTCAGCGTCAAACCCTTCAAAATCCTTGTCGAGAACACATTCTGGCCATAATTTTCTCCAAGCAGAGTTCAAAGTCCTGGAAGTCACTCCCTGCCAATGGAGGATATTGAAGTGATTCCTTCAGAACTCTCTTAAGGTCAAGTCAGTGTCTGAGGTCACTTCAAAGCACCTTTGAAACACTGCTTTTGTGTAGAGTTTTTTGAAGTTAGAAATGACCTGCTGGTCCATGGGCTGGATGAGAGACGTGGTGTTAGGAGGCAAGAACTTCACTTTTATAAAACTTAACTCCAGAGACAATTGGTCTACCAAGTTTGGAGGATGAGCAGGAGCATTGTCCAGTACCAGGAGACACTTGAGGAGCAATTTATTTTCTTGGAGGCATTTTTTCACACTCGGGCCAAACACTTCACGGAACCAGTCAATGAAAATGTGAATTGTGACCCATGCCATATTAGCTTTACACAACACACACAATTTACTCTTGATGACATTGTTTTTCTTGAACACACTGTGATTTTCAAAGTGATACACCAGTAAAGGCTTCACTTTGAAATCCCCACTAGCATTATCACAGAACAAAAGAGTAAGCCTATTTTTCATAGGGTTGTGTCCTGGCAGTAGGTTCTCTTTGGCATTTTCTTCCAAAAGAGGCCTATTTTGTCACAATTGAACACTTGTTGAGGGAGGAATCCTTTAGCCTCTACGTACCCCTTGAATTCATCAACAAATGCTTCAGGTGTACATTTGTCAGAACTTGCAGCCTTGCCATGCCTTACAACACTGTCTATGCCACTATGCTTCTTAAATCTCTCAAACCAGCCTTTGCTGGCCCTAAATTCACTAACAGCAGCACTCGTTCCAGGCATTTTCTTTACGAGATCCGCACACAACCGCCTTGCCTTTTCACAAATTATCAACTCCACAACACTATCTCCCGCTAATTGTTTTTCATTGATCTGCACCAACAATAACTTCTCCACATCTTCGATTATTACTGGGAATGCCTGCAGGTCTTGAACATGTATTCATTGGAGCGGAGGAGAGATACATAATATGTACATGTACCTGGAAAACACTCGAGGGCCTGGTCCCAAATCTGCACACTGCCATAACGACATACTGGAGTGAGAGATATGGGAGGCAGTGTAAAATATAACCAGTGAGGAGCAGGGGTGCAGTGGGGACAATAAGGGAACACTTATCAACATCCAGGGTCCCAGACTATTCAACATCTTACCAGAAGATATCAGAAATACGGCTGGTTCAAGTGTAGAAGCCTTCAAGAGGAAACTAGACAAGTATCTTCACCAGGTGCCAGATCAACCACGCTGTGATGGATATGTGGGGCAGCGGACCTCCAGCAGCAACAGCCTAGCTGACCAGGCAAGCACAAGACGAGCCTGGCCCATGGCCGGCTCAGAGAGTAGATTAACTCTCGAAACACTCTAAAGGTATATCAGAGGTATAATATAAGAGGGGCCTGGAGACATGACTAATGAACAGACAAAATGTTATTTTAGTGCTAAGAATGTTTGCATTGTTAATTCTTGACCCTGTTTTAAAATTGGCCAAATTACCAATTTCTGGTCACTTTATTTAGTTGAAATTGGTAAATGGGCTGTTTCTTGTACTCATTCGATAGGAGGAGCTCTAGCGAAATAGCTGTGAGTTTGGTCAACTGGAACAATGGAATTGGCCAAAAATAGGGCTCAAAGTGCACAAAATCACCGATGTGTAAATATCACCGAGACCACTAAATTTGCGAGAGCGTAATACTGTAAGTTTATCATCAAATTTCGTACTTTTTGTTTTATTACCACCAGGAAAAGATTCTCTTATTTCGTAAGAATTTTTTTTTTTTAAATTCGACAATGAGAGCAAGCTTGTAAGTAGGGGGTCTCAACACTGAAAGGGTTGAAGTGGCTCAGAGTAATAATATTACCATCGACATACCTTGTTCAGTGACTCACGAAATCGTAATGACACGATTGCAAACAAACCATACCACGGGCGGGATTTGAACCCGCGGTCAGAGAGTCTCAAAACTCCAGACCGAGGCGTTAGGTACTGCGCCAGCTAGCTTCAATAAGATTCGTCCATCTAGATTCATCTGTAAAAACTTGCATTTGTGGACACAGTGGTGCCTATGCTAACCTTCCTATGGTGTAGAAATATACCTAGTTGGACGAATCTTATTGAAGCTAGCTGGCCCAGTGGCTAACGCGACGCTCTGGAGTTTTGAGACTCTCTGACCGCAGGTTCAAATCCCGCCCGTGGTATGGTTTGTTCAGTAAGTTTA